CTTAACCATAGTGGTTATACTGCGTTTTTGTGATGCAAAAATCATTTCACCACAATCATAGCAGAAGTTATCTGCATTGTTCAGACAGGTACGATACATCACATCTTACTATGGCCAAACAGAAATGTGTCCTTTTGCAAAATCAAATACTGAGAAAGAAAAAAGCACGACACTATGATTTCTAGAGCTGATATAGTGCAATTTGTTCAGCAGAGTGATGTCATCTTAGTTATGACTGCATCATCCATGACGTCGAGAAATAAAATGATGCAATTCATATCATGTATGACGTAATACCAGCTTCAGATTGCATCATTCATTGTTTTGCATTGGAAAAAAAACAAGTACTGTTTAAACCAAGTCATGGATTTATTCATAGATCCAGTCAAAGATGTATTTTAGTCATTTCTGGTTTAAATTGAGATCCCTTCCCTTTATCAGTCACTTATCCTCCGCCATTTCCAAGTCAAGGGTCGTATAAACTGACCCAGTATCAATCATATCTTTAAAACTAGAGCCAATCAACAATTTTAAGCACCAGATTTGTTCTCACTAACCCAGAATTAGTAAAGTTTGACTATATTTAATTCGGAAGCATCTTGGTTGTAGACCAGTATAATATAATGTATATAATGTCGTGTTATATTGATATTTTTCCAGCTCTGAGAGAGAGAGAGAGAGAGAGAGAGAGAGAGAGAGAGAGAGAGAGAGAGAGAGAGAGAGAGAGAGAGAGAGAGAGAGAGAGAGAGAGAGAGAGAGAATCAAGTGGAAGGGAGGAGTTGGAAGATGGGGAAAAGCTTGTATGAAGAGTGGATAATAGGGTGATATAGCAGTATCATGATATGAAAGCCTTAGGAATAGAGCGAACGGGTTGGGAACGTTGAGTAGATGGGAATTACAAAGCAGGGAGACAATGATTGTTTTCTAAAATATACATTTGAGGTGTTAACGAGAAACTTTTGTCATCTTTTTATGGCAAATAATTTATGATGACATCCACTAATTACATTTTTGGTTTGTTTGCTTGTTTCATAAATGAGCGACTTGTTCCAAATTAACACGCTAGTATGTAATTCAGAGACAATGTTTCTGACGAAAATGGCCCTTGGCTACAGTGTTCAAATAAATATATAAATTTCTCCATTACATAAACATGTAAGTGTGTATAAATTTCTCCCTTACATACGAAGGCATAAAAGGTTCTCCCTTGCATAAGAATGTATTGAAATTTCCCCCTTACATATGAAGGCATAACAAGTTCTCCCTTACATACTAATATATAGAAGTTTCTCCCTTTAAAAAAAAAAAAACATACGCATAGTATATACGATTCTTCCATTACATAAACATGCGAATGTAACCACTTTATACGCAACATAGTGCTCTTAAGGCTTCAGTATTGCAGCGGTATCATAGATTCAGGAAGCCGAATACAAACATGAGATATTTTTTTTATACTAAGGGAGATAACCAAGGTCATCTTTTTGACAATTAAACACAAGTTTGTGCTCTATATATATATATATATATATATATATATATATATATATATATATATATATATATATATATATATATATATATATATATATATATATATATATATATATATATTAATTATTTCAAGTAGATAACGCATGTGGGAAATGTTTTTTTAAAAAACGCGTATAAGAATGTGTGCAACATAAACTCTACAGACCACTTTAATTTGCAGCAAATAATAAAAGCGTTATAAAATAATTGTTAAATATATTAGACAAGCTAAGTAAATAAACTTTTGTCTCTACTTTTTTAATTTGCATCACGGTGGTATATCGGTGAGTCAGTGCTTACATTCCGAATTCATAATGAAATGGTTGCAGGTTCTCCACGAGAAAACACAACATAAATATATTGAAACGATACTTTCTAATTTAAACGTGTATTTTAAATGTGCGTTGGAGCTAGTTTCATTGCGTCTGCCTATTTCCAGTGCTCATCAGGCCTGTCACTGTTGTTTATGAATCACAATACACTAAAATTATGCTATTATTTAAAGTGAGTGTGAGTACGTTTGGACTTGAGTACATTTTGACTTGGTTACGTTTCGGTCTGGGCACGTTTTCACTTAGGTACATTTCGGTTGGGTACATTTTAACTTGGGTACGTTTCGGTTTGGGCACGTTTTGACCTGTTCCCTGGTAAAATACCTATGTGCGAATCTCAGAGTTATTGGTAAATATAGAAAAACTTTTTAAGCCGTTCTCCATTTTTGTTTTCACCAAACTATTACGACTACTTTTCATGCTAATATGATCAAATATTCAATTTTTTAATATTTATGTTCCATATTATTATATAGGATAATATTGTTTCTGATGATGAGAAAGAAATTGTACATTATGGTATTATATCAACGTATTTAACTAAAAGGATGCAGTTTGAGCTAATACTATGCGAGATTCAGAATTGTTGTTGTTGTTGTTATTATTATTATTATTATTATTATTATTATTATTATTATTATTATTATTATTATTATTATTATTATTCAGGGGGCATCGAGTGGCCGAGTGGTCTAAAGCACTGTCCGTTACGAATCACTGCCATCTCACCTCTGTCTGCATGGTTTCGAGTCAAGGATTCGGCGAATTGTGGATATTTAAGGTGTCACGGTACCAATTGCTTTTCCATAGACCGCAATGCTAATGTTTTGCGAAATAAATATATTTTTTATCCTACCTCAGCATGCATGTCACACACTGTCACAGAGAACAATGTTAGAGTGTTAATTTGATAACATCGAAAATAGGTACTTCATTGCATTTAAGAGAGATAACTCTGCTGGAACTAGACAGGGGTAAGAGTTATCTAGTTACACCGGACACATTTTCAGTCATGTGTACCACATTTTAAAAAAATCTTAAAACATACAACATGTGATCTAGATATGAATTAACATAATTTCACATGTTGCCAAGAGGCTCAACTTTTTTTTAAAGCCTAACAGAAAGTACAACTCTTACATAATGCACCAATCACAGCTAGTTTTGTAGTTTTGTCGTTTATTTCTGAATGCAATGTTCCCTACACCTTAAGCTCCGCTCACCTGGGGTTGTACAATTGGTACCGTTATACCTTAAGAAAGCTTGCCAGTAGCTTCTCGTGGGTCGGTGGTTCTTTCCGGTTATTTCCCGATTTCTTCCTCCTATATTAATATTGGGTGCTATGTATAGCCTGAAATATGGCGTTAAGCCCCACAACAAACAAACAAACAAACAAACAAACAAACAAATTTTAATTCATGCCATGATATGAAGGTAAAGAATTCACGAACAGATAGATATATCCTTGGAGAGAATAGCTGATGATAAATTTAGGCTGGCCACTTAATACATTATCTGAGAGCTAGTATATTACTAATAGCAATGCGTAAACCTCGGTAGGTCACACTTACATGGATATTTGAATAAGCCTAAATGCTATACAAATGTTTGTTCTTTTTCTTCTTCTATATCTACTATTACTACTTACAATACTGTAATATTTTCACCATATTTTAGGCATATTTATGTATTTACTGTCATATTTTCACCAGAAACGAACATATTTAGTGACAGAAACAATTGGGGGATGTGTAATTACGATAGTTTACTTAATAACGAAAAATTACTGAGATTTATGACGTACAAATATATCCGAATCCGATAATACAAATATGAAGTTTTCTCCTCTCTGCGTTCTAGATTTCAGCATGCTCTTTATTTCGCAAATGCCTTTCTATAAGTCCATCGTCTGTCTGTGTATTAAAAAAATCAAAACATTTCAAACGTAAAACATACAAGTACGACGTATATAAAATGGAAACTATACTCATTTCTACGTCGAGGCTATTGATTCATTTTCATGCTGTAGAGGATTGGGATGAGGGGATAATTACTTTATGATCAACAAACGAGGATGAGTTAGAGTGTATTTTGTACATTTTGAGTATCTTTGATTTATTATAAGTTTAAGGGACTGGACATTATACATTGGAGAGGGGCTAGAGCCATAGATGTGTTAGAACCAACATTTTCTGTTCTGCACTATTACTCGAAAATTAGCTCTTGCCTTGATTTCTAAAAAGAAACATATTACACTATCTATCTTTCTCCTTAAATAAATAATTCCTAAGATAAATAAAACATATATTCTGGTCAGAAACAAAATACCATACCCCCATCACCAACACATTCAAATTAATGGTCGGTTCCTGAGTTTCTTTGTTTCTTTACTGATTTGTATAGAACTTTAGGTATTAGAACTGGAACTAAAATAAGCTAATCTCTCTCTCTCTCTCTCTCTCTCTCTCTCTCTCTCTCTCTCTCTCTCTCTCTCTCTCTCTCTCTCTCTCTCTCTCTCTCTCTCTCTCTCTCTCTCTCTCTCGTTTGTTTTGCATCATGATGCACACCAAATCATACAACATGTACGGACATTATAACATTTTCATCCCTTTTGTTTTGTGTCATGAAGCACACCAAATCATACAACATTTTCATCCCATTTGTGGGCTACTTGAATTCACGCTCCAGCATATATTTACTCTTTATTCCATATTTTAAAAGATGTTGTCAATGCAGTCTTAGAAACTTGGAAAATGCATTACCAATCTCAAGTACTAGCTGTTTATTGTCACAACAGTATAGTATCTAAGTGGGCGCAGGCGTCTTTGTCTACTGATAGCTTTAGTGTGCTTGCAGTGTGTTTGTGTCAAGACATGGGTTGGCAAGGTAAACATTCATGCCAACAGAAAATGTCAAATTCTTTACTGAGAATACGAATGAGTCTTGTGAATGCAAAATTGTACGAATTTCTATACGATCTTATCATTATTACCACTGAATGGCTCAAATTGACTTGAGATTCCTTTTTGTACTTGTGTTTAATTTGAGACGACAAGTAACCCAATCATTCCACAGTGAAATTTGTTTAGGCTATTCAGCTGAAATATTATTGTATTTCTTCTAACAGATTAGACCGATCTGGTGGCCAAGTGGATAAAGCGTTTGCCTCAGATGCGGGAGGTCGTGCATTCGATCCCCGACCAAGTCATACCAAAGACTTTAGTAAAAAAAATGATACAAACAGCTGCTTCTCTTGGCGCTTAGCATTAAGAGGTTAGTGTTATGACTGGTCGGTCAGGATAATGTGATTAGCTTGGACATCATGCTACATGCCTGCTACATAATGTCCCAGTGCTACACTACAGACGTCGTAGCGATATGACTGAAAAATCACACACACACACACACACACACACACACACACACACACACACACACACACACCAACTGACTGATTAGCTCATATATCATTGAGTGTTATAGGTTTTGGGCAATTGTCCGCGATTCGTGAAAAGCTCTTCTATAACACTCGCGTTATATGTCTGAGGTTCACTTAGGCACCTGTTACGACATTGTCTGAGGTTCGCCACTTAGGCACTTGTTACGTTAGAATGCGTGATACGTGCTACGTTAGTGTACGTCTAATCAGTCTGGAAGGTTTTCTTCTGATACACTGTATTTCACACGCAGGCTATTGAATTTCTCAGTCTGCATTGTCGAAAGCATATTGCATGCATTTCAACATTGTCTAATAACAAGGGTGTGTCTAATATCGTTAATGAGTCAAAGTTATCAACAGATTACTCTGCCAGTAAACGTATCAGAAACAAATCAAAGTATAAAAAAAAAATAGCACGGTTATAATACATATTTTTCATGCAGTCATCTGTGTTTTTATTTGGTCTAAGCGCTGTGAACACGTGTATTAACACCGTGCATAGTGCAAAGATATACGTGTGACAACTGCCTATTCTAGTTCTGGACTAATTGACAAAAATTTGTACCATTATGCAGAATATCATTAAACTATATGTATACCTGGAAGTAATGAGAACTTGATGTACAAATGAAATAAATTAGAAAAAAATCAGAAGTAAAAATAACAAAGAAGGGAATTTAAGAAAGTTGGTAGGTAACTTACCGTTGGGTCGCAAAGTACACTAAGGTTTCAATATTCCCCTGCCACCCTAGGAGACCCAGAATGGGTTAACGGTCATAAATCATTCATTTCCCTTTATTTTTTATTGATAACCCTTTCCTTTTTCATTTTGGTACTTTTCTTTAATTACTCAAGCTTTACGATACTCTTTGTGTTTCATTCACAACGGACCACCGTGCGGGTGGAAGTTAGGTCTAGGAGTTGAATGGTATTGGGTCAACTGACCATCACTTGTGTTATTGGGTTAGTGATCAAAGATATTGGAGGGTGTTTACGCACGAAATGGACTTTAGTCTTCTTCACTTTCCCCTAGGGATCAAGGGCAGAGGTCAAAAGGTGAGAAGAAAAAACTGGATGCTACTAGATTATGTTATCGCGGACATTGTAGTATTAACTTTGAAAATATTTGCAATGATAACAAATATTGTGTCTATCATACAATGGCCATATTTAGTATGGGGCTCCCTATGGTGTACAGATCTGCATAATTCCAGTATGATCTCTGATTAATCATTGGACATTTTATCTAGTGAATTTTCATCTGACAATGACCAGTTGTAAAAAAAATGATAATAATATTACACTGAAGATACAAATAAAAACAAACTGATGTTTTTTTATAGAAAGCATGCATGTGAGATTTTGACTGCGACAATCATGTCAATTCCTAATATAACTGGTGGCTTTTATACTGAACCAACACTGCCACCAACCCCTCTTTTTACATTCATTTTTGACAGAGAAGAGCTATTTTGAATATTTTCCTGTGACAAGGCAGCTAAAAGAACCAGTATGTGTATTATGCATGAATAAGGTTCACTAGTTCTATAACAAATTAACATACTTTTCATCACATCATAACCATTTCGATTTTTAGATATTTACCTCTGTAGCAGATATAGGTAAGGTAAATAAGTAAGCCAAGTTGGCTGTTCATTTGCAGTCCAAGTTACGCATTTAATCTCCATACTTATCTAGTCACCAAATAAACCAACCTATGTTCGAGCCTAACTCTAAGTAAATCTAAACCACATTAAATATTTAGTTTGTGTGTGACTTTATAAATGTTAGGCTTATGGTGATAAAGTTCATGCCTTCTACCATAAAAATCAGGGCGGTGTCAAATACGAAAATATCCAGTGAGACTTTAATTGGGTCAAAAGAGTCAACAATCAGGGAAACGTCAAAGCAAGGAAAGTAGTTAATGGTCCGAGTTGCTCAATTTATCCGCAATACTTAAGAACTAAAAATAATTTTCTGGCATTATTATAAAATACGATCTTTGTATTCGTATTAAAAAGAAAACGATAATCAACATGAATTGTAAGTTCTAATTTATAACTATGAAATTATGACTGCAAAATATCAGTTTTATTGGTCTCGTTGCCTATTTTGTTCATATGTCCTTGAATTTCTTAATTGATAAATGATTGCCGTCAAAAATACATAGATCCATTTTTGTTGATAAACACATTTAGCTTATACATAACCGTGACGAACGTCAAATATAGTTCAAACAAAAGAATCCATTTGAACAACGTGATTTATAGCCTATACTGTTTATTATTTGGCCTTCGTAATCTTGTACATTAGAACCCTCTTACCTTGCTTATAAGTCAAGTCAAACTGCAAGCAACATAATTCCTGATCTGCCGTAGCATAATGTCCCTGCTGATCAAGGTCTATGTTGTTTGTTCTTCTGATTACTCCAAATAAACTGCACAAATCCAGATCTGGCTGTGCATTATGTGGCGGGAGATCTGGGTCTGTGCAGTTGCTGGTGAATAGAATATATAGGCGAGTAATGTCGGTGTATCTAAAATCCAATATCCATCAACTCGCATGTCCTTCCGGCTGATTCGGCTTTCGGCTGTTACGATTTTTGTTTCCATTTTCTAGCGTATTTTTACCATATCAGATTAAATAATCATATGAACTATACAAAATAGTTAATTTTTGTTCGCAGTTTATTAAATATTTTTATCTGCTGGCAGTTACCATACTGTATTTTTGCACTCCTTCTAGTTAATGTTAATGACAATGCACAGCTTTTGCCATGCAGTCTAAAGTAATATGGCCATAAAGTAATGATGAAAACGGGAAGGTAAACATTAAACTTTCTTTACTATATTATATAAATTTTGTTCAATTGAAATATCATCCTTTTTGCTGAAAAATAATTTTTAAAAAAAAAACAACCTGAATATAATTTATATAAGGTTAATATGATTAAAAGCGATATTTTGAGAACTGGTTATATTCACACTGCACGGAATATCATCGTCACTTATAAATGTGAGGCGGAAAAAGCCCAGAACGTTTCCACTGGAAAACCGTGTTAAACTGCAAATTTTCTACTCAGGTAATGTCCTCACCTCTCAACAGATTCACATCTCGTGGACTTATAGTTCTATTTTTTTTATGAAAGAGGCTAACCTCAAAACATCCGTCTAAATTGATACAAGAACAATATCAGAAATTTCTACCAGAATGTAGCTGATTTTAACTTGTTGTACCCAGTACCGTTTTGAGTATGAGGGAAGAGAGAAATGATAAAATCGTATGGAGCAGTTTGAGACATGTTGAAAATCGGAACAGTGTCTACCTTTTCTGCCAGTCTATGTTATGCACTTAAGGGGTGAGAATGGGAATTGGTGGAGGGCAGGGTCACTTCACCCAAACTCAACAAATGTATATGTATTGCTACAAATACTTTGAAAGATTTTTTTTTTACAAGTGTAACGGAAAAGTCCGAATGATGTTATTCCTATAGAATGAACCAATCTAGATCTGCTGAAGTGAAGGGAATCCAAATTATTTCCATCAAAGCAAGATAGTGAATCGTACCAATTGCACATTTTTAGGGTTAAATTGCGTTTTCCGAAGGGGGCAAATGAATCACATAGATGTATTAATGAAAGAAGCAAAATTTTAATGTCATGACAACGAAAGGGACGATTAAATGAATTCATTACTGAGAGTTGTACCCAAACGTCAACTCTTTTCTTGGCTCAGTCCTGCTTACCTGTAAAGTCCAAGCCTATTACAGTGCTTCTGACATGTATAATTATCGTTGTGCCTATGGTCTGAAGGAGTATTATAGTTCGCATAAATGGTTTCTACAAAGCTGTCGCTGTGCGTATTGAATTATATTAACCGACTATCTATAAATCTTGGTGAGATTAATTTTAAAATGGGTGATTTTACAAGTCAGACATGTGTTTAAATAACTTATCTTATCCGTTATTAGTATGAATCATATTATGAGAGGTTTTTTTGGCGATCTGACCAAGACTGAGTCAACCTGAAACAAAGCCATGTTCACGAACGAAGAATGATAGATCGGAATAGAGATGGTGACACGTTGCATGATCCAGTCACATTATCCTGACACTAGGCCGACCAGTCCTAACACTAACATATTAATGCTGAGCGCCAAACGAGGCAGCTGTTAGTACCATTTCTTAAAGTCTTTGTTATGACTCGGCTGGGGTTTGAACACGCAACCTTCCGCTTCCGAGCTGGTGAACCAGGCTATATTGACGTATATGCTTAAAATGTGTCAGTATTAAATGTATACTAATTTCTGTCCTTACTGAGTTACCTTACTGAGCTAACAATTAGTTTTTCCTCGAGGCTAACCGCGTGTGTTTAATGCTAGCAATACAGGTCTGCAAAATAGTAAATGAAATTTGAAGTCTGAACGCATCTAAACTGTGAAGATATATAATTCTTTAGAATAAGACCGTTCCATCATTGATCCTGAACTGTATATATGGGTGTGTCCGCTAGGAGTATTGTTTCTGCATATGTTTAATATAACGGGTGATTTCATGTCGACACAAGCTGGGAACGTACATTTGATGAATATAAATACAAAATTGGAAACATCAGTGTTTTTTATACCATAATTGGGCGCATTCAAAGCCAGGTACTTTTTATTTTCACATTTAGTACAGCATTCAATAATTTAGTGCACAACGCGACACTGACCCCTGGCCTGAAATCAGCTAATCATTATACGTTCTCTTGTGGATACCTGCCTATTA